TATAAACGATAATATAATAATTATTATTATTTGCAAAGTATTTTACAGCGATCTGAATATAATGAATAGGCACTAAATCTCTCACATGTGAACGTCAACTTTCGATTAGAATGCGTATTGCAGATTACACATGAACATTTATTAAAACCAGATACGATATAGAATTCGAATTTTTCTACAAATCAACGATGACTCCATATCGCGTTGCATTGCGAAACTACGAGCAATTTATGGTAATGGATCGCGATGTTCTAAATTCTCAGCTACTGATAATGAGTAATTATTCATGGCAATAATGCAGATAGAGTTCATATCTATGTACAATCACACAAAACTATATAATTACCCACTCTACCCTCGCTTTAAAATTGAATTTTATCATTTAATAAATATCCATAATTTATTAAAATTACACTCGAAATTGCGATACCTCTATTTAATATTATTATACTTTATCCAAACTTATTATAAGCCTATATCAAAATTCTTCAAAAATTATCATAACCTAAACGCGTTGTATTCAGTGCGATCGTTACCAACATAATTTGAAAACGATTTATCACAATCACAATAAACTTGAGAGAAAATGAAGTATCAGACGCGATTAATCATAAGCATTCAAGACGTTACTGCAATAAAGATGGATCGTTGCAAGAGCTTCAACTCAAACTCGATTACCAGTGTTACAATGATTTAATTATGTTCTACAAGTGTAATCGCTTTTACAACCGGTACTATCTTTCCTACATAACATCGCGCGAAATTAATCGCGTTCTCTATCACGCGAGATTTATTATTCAAATAAATTTAAATAAATTTAAATAAATTTATTTGTCATAAATATAAAGAAGAAAATTTGTTGCTCGATATTTTCATGCGTCGCTTATTTTATAACTTGTTTTATATTTTATATTTTATATATGGGTTACTCACTGTTGTATTCTCCAGGATCGCTGGGATCCAATCGTTTCGTTCTACGCCCGTGTTTGCTGTTGTTGTGGACGAACATGTTATCCGAGACGGCCAGCAGTGGTCCCTCTACTGATACTTGCGTGGCAATGACCACCTGTTACGGAACGTTCAAATTTGTCCACGTAAGATTTCAGTTCAAAATTGGCAAAAATTAGAAGAAATTACTTTTATAAAATAATTTTTAGACAAATTAACACATACAGTGGAATACGATTATCAGCTATAATCACGGATAATATCATCAATCGAGTGTTACTATATCAAGAATGTCAGTGATTATGAAAGTGGTCCAATTGGAAGTCAAAAATTGAAAAATTGAAAAATTTAAAAGAAACGATTTTATCATTATTTTCATTAATTTTGGGTTACCTTCATTTAAGCTACCACAAAATAAACCTTTTTCTGGTAAAATAGGAAGTAACTGAACTTATTTTTATTATTTTATAATATTTTTGGAAAACGAAATTTTTGATATTTCGAAACGAAATATATATGACTTAGGCTACTTTCGCAATCACAGGCACAATTAACCTTTTGCACTGGAAGGTTCTTTTGCTATAGAGAGACAATAACTCGAAAATTCTCTATTATATATTTAATCACATTTTTTGCAATAGCATTAATAGCAATCGCGCTTAAATTAACATTTTATTTGAATGTTTCATTAAGGTAATATTGCATTACAAATTTAAATTTAAATTTGACAGGGAACATTCATCTTTATTAAAAATTATAATTAATTTTTCAAAATTATATTTCATTTTCACAAATGGTGATTGAGAATCTCCTTTCGAATGCAAAGGGTTAATCTATTGTATATAATATTATAAGTAAAATTATTTGAAAATAATCTCTCTATTATTATCACTATGATTGTAAGAAAAAAATCAAAATTTTGCATTTAATTTCAGTAGTGCATTTCTGATTGGTACTAGTGAGACTTTTACATTAACAAAATTATTACAAAATATAAAAATAGTGGGTACAATAACTGCATCGAAAATACAACGGGTTGCAAAAATATTCGAACGCTATATTTCAATGCAATTCTCCAACTCAAAAATTCTGATTTTAATAAAAGTTTGCGTGTATGTAAAGTATAACCTGTTGCAAAACTTTTCAAATAAACAATGTTGAATTTTTCGTACTCTGCCGTTCTGTGATAAAAATTTTTCTCGGCCAAATCCCGTAAAAAAAAGGAAATGGGAAAATGTTAAAATTTTGATTGGTGATTTCATCTTCTCAAAGATATTTTCTGCCAATAAGAAAATTATTTAACTTATAACCCTTTACATACAAACAAACTTTCATTAAATTTTGTATTTTTTAATTAGAAAATTTCTAGTTTGGTGAATCATTATATATCAAGATGTTGTTGATAATAATTTCAAATTATTGAAAGAAAATTAGCATGTAACCTATTTATGGGGAAAAAAGTTCCTTTAAACACCATCAAAGTGCAAGAAGTTCCACAAATTTTTATCATGGTGTGCAATAACCAAAATAAAGATTTGTTTTCTGATTGTGAGTAACAAACTCCGAAAAACTCAATTATGCGAATTATATTTAGAAGCTAATAAATTTTTAAATAAATTTATTGCTATTTTCAGAAAGAATTGTTCACAGAAAGTATGGCATATATATAATAAATTGAGTATCATAATGAAAATTTCGTTATTCCCTGTTTAATGTTATTAGTCAATCATTGTTAATAAAGATTGCAAGTCCCAAAAGTGATCACATTAAGCGGATTCCACTGTAATAGGATATACATTATATTTTCAGTACATTTTGAGGCTATATTTGCATCTTGAACCTAAATTAAAAATTTTTCCTTTCATCAAGAATAATTTGCAACCACAGTTCTTGCATTAAATTTTACATCATTGTTATTAGAATTAATTTTTTAATTTACTTTAAATTGAAGTAAAAAGTTTGAGGGAAAATTTTCCTCGTCTGTTTTCTATTGAAATTAAAACAGAGATTAGGAGAAGAGAGACACCTCTATGGCTTCGTGCAATTAAATTCATATAATAGTTTTTCCATGTATTAAAATTTACGACTCCATTGTCAAATTGCAGGGAAAAGGGTGTGTTTACGGAAACTGTGTCGCACAACACGTTGCGTAATTTTATTTACGTGTTATGTAAGTACCGGTATATATGTTAATCATATCTCATGTGAACAAGCAATGCAACCTGATTTGCTGCATTGCATTATGTGTATTCGCCATGCATTCCGTGACTCTCGTGACCCCCTATTTGCACGTATGATAGATACTATCATACAAATGTATGAATATAATCTCATTAAAGCTGAGCCTAGGAATACACCTGGCTCGTGTAACCAACTTAGAGAATCGCGGTATCTAAACATCCTATAGCTACGATATTTCATCGATAGGTAGGTTCATTCGCAGTAATTGTACAATTATTTTCTCAAACGAATTTATTATAATATGATAAATTTTATTAAAATTTTATTATAAGAAAATAATAACGTATCCAATGATTTTCAGTATTTCTTTTTAAATTAAGGAAGTGCAAGAATTATAAGGTATGCACTCTTTGATAAAACAGAAGAAGGTTAATTATAGTTATTTTTTAAATATTTGACTGGCCTATGTTAGGTTTAGGAGGAAAGTGAATAAAAAATAGCAATTATTTGCGATATTCACGAAAATATTTAAAAGATAGTAATTTTTCTCCAATATTTTTATTAAGTGCATATTATAGCAATGACCTTTCTCTGTAAAATCAAATTTAATTTATATTCATGTGATTTATTTTTACCGAGATATATCACTTTGAAGTTACTCCAGGAATACTGAATATCCCCACTTTAGCGATACGTAATATTCAATAAAAAATAAAAATTTAAAATTTACGAAATCTAAATCTGTAAAATCTAAATTTACGAAAATATTTAGGAAATAGAAATTTTATATCAACATTTTTGTCGACAATACCACACAGTACAGTAATCTTTTCCTAAGAAATCAAATTTGATTTATTATTATTATTATTATTTTATTCATAAACAGACTATGGTCCATTTACATAAAATTTTACACATAAAAGAAAAGCTAACAAATTATATACATAATATATAAAATATAATCATTATTCAATCAATAATCATCTGTAATTGTCTTTCGAAAGTTTGTAAAGACCCATAAAAATAAATCTATACGATTATAAAGAGTGTTTGAGTCAGTAATAATACGATAAATTGGATTAATTAATCAAGTAATAATACGATAAATTGGATTAATTAATCCATATGTAGATCTGGACATATGTATATGAAAACCTGCTCTAGATCTCAATACACGTTCTGGCACATAGAAATTAATTTGCATAAGAAGAGAGGAGCAATCAATATGATTATTAATTATTATTGATTATAATGATTATTATTTAAATTGATTATTAATTAAATTAAAGATAAAACTATGGTCAGCTATTCTTGTTTGTGTAGACAATGTCTCCAGGTTGACAGTATTTAATATCGTGGAGTAATCACATGCTATGTATTAAAATTTTCAAAAATAGTAATTGAAATAACACATCCGATGACATAACCTGATTTTTCGATGTAGAATATATCATATGCATATATTTCCGCGAATAGAAGTTCGGACGAATTGAAACAAGCCACGTGGTTAACCTCGAGTTTGCCGGATGCAAACAAGAGGACGATGATTTTCGGGAGAAAGTAGAAAGAACGTTTATAAAATCGACTGGGCGGTTGGTAAACGCCCGAAGTTTTGTCCTTCCGCAACTTCTCAACTTTCTTGGCTAGTTGGCCGTAGTACCTAGCGCATAACGTCGTGCAAACTTGCCCAGCACAAGGGTGAGGATAACCCGACTGCCCTTCGCCAGAGAAATTTTCAAGGGAGGGGAACCCGTACAGCTAAAATTTTAATTCGCAACGTCAAGTAATAAGCAATTCCTAAACAAATTCCACGGAGCAATAAGTACTTTAACTTTGGTTTAGTCTCGAGCGAACGAATGGGGAAATGAATGCGTGAAAAATGTATTATACCTGTGATGAAACGTAAACTACCATAGATGTGCGAAAAATTAGTACAGATTCGTCCCATCGAGTAAAATTTTTAAAATATGCCTTTAGTTTTTAAAATTTGTTTTTAGCAAAATAGGTGAGATAATACGGAAGTAGTAATAATTCACAATTTTCTTTGAAAATAATTTTGTATTAAATTAATTTAAATAATTTCCATTCTTCCAAAATTCAACTATATCAATATCGATAAATTTAATAAGATAAATTAGAAATAAATAAAGATAATAAGATAAATTTATTTTATACCGTAACATTTTAAGAGTTAATAATTCTTTTTTAAAATAACTAAGACAACCTCAAACCCTCTAAAATCATCGTCAAATTTATCATATCACTTTGGTTTAGTCTCGAGCGAATGAATGGGGAAATGAATGCGTGAAAAATGTTTTGCACCTGTGATGAAACGTAAACTACCATACATGTGCGAAAAATTAGTACAGATTCGTCCCATCGAGTGAAATTTTTAAAATATGCCTTTAATTTTTAAGATCTGTTTTTAGCAAAATAGTTGAGATAATTCGGAAGTAGTAATAATTCACAATTTTCTTTGAAAATAATTTTGTATTAAATTAGTTAAAATAATTTCCATTCTTCCAAAATTCAACTATATCGATATCGATAAATTTAACAAGATAAATTAAAAATAAATAAAGATCATAAGATAAATTTATCTTATCCCGTAACATTTTAAGAATTAATAATTCTCTTCAAAAATAACTAAGACAATCTCAAACCTTTCAAAATTATTGTCAAATTTATCATATCACGTAAGATTTTCAAACTTCCCAATTTACCACAAAATTCCATTTTAGATCAATCCATGCTTGATTTATGAACAATTGTCACACGTTTATAGTATCGCGTAAAATTCAATAGTTCCCAATTTTCTTTGAAAATAATTTTGTATTAAATTAGTTAAAATAATTTCCATTCTTCCAAAATTTAACTGAATCAATATCGATAAATCTAATAAGATTAATTAAAAATAAATAAAGATAACAAAATAAATTTATCTTATCCCGTAAAATTTTAAGAATTAATAATTCTCTTCAAAAATAGCTAAGACAATCTCAAACCTTCTAAAATCGCAAGATTTTCAATCTTCCCAATTTAGCACAAAAAATGCATTTTTTCTCGGAATTTTCCAAAATTAACATCGTTCAATTACGCTAACTTTTGCGAATAAATTCCGCAACGTACTCGAAACGGTAAAATACAAATACAAAGACGTTAAAATAAACGATATTAAAATAAAAATAAAAATTTTCGTTACTATTAAATAAAATTAATATTTATACAACAATTTTACCCGAGAAACAGCTAAATCCAGCAAGCATAATCTGAGATTGCGATCGAAAAAGAAATTAGCGAACAGTTACGTTTTCTTTCGACCCTCGAGTCTTCTTTATTCGATTACAAAGTGGCCGAACAGAAAGGGAACGTAACAATCGCGCGATAAGGCGGAGAGAGCGAATGGAAGAAGGCGAAAAGACAGAGCGCAAAGTTTTTGGTAATTTATTTTTTAATTCTACCTTTTGTCTGTGGAAATGGATACGGACGGGGTGGCGAGATACGGCTGTCGGTGAGTAGGAGAGACCGTTATACGGAGGTGGGGGTGGAAGGGTGAACGGATACGGGGGTGGGTGGGTTGATGCCGCGCTGAGCTAATTGCCAACCCCTTGGATTACGTCTCTTGGATGGGGATCTCAACTTCCGACGATGGCCGACCATCGGGAAATTGCTGTCTCCTCGGCCAACTTTTTCTTGTCCTTTTGCAAATTAAAAAAGAATGCCTCCAAGTGGAAGCTACGCATCTACAGACGCACTATACAATGATACCCCGGCACGCTATTCTGCCAGACTTTTGGTCTTCTCCTCCCTCTCCATCCGCCCCTATAATTTCATGAGTCGCGTGACTCCAACCACGACCGACTTTTCCATGCCATTTTTTCATCCCGATAACTGCTACCTGTACTTTTCGAACGGATTATTAATGATATCGTTCCGAGAAATTAACGAATTGGATGGGTTATGAGTTATTATGGAGAGGGTAAGCAGTGAAAATAGTAGAAGGAATATAATTTTGGTAATGAAGTTGATTTTATGTCATAGCTTATTTTGACATATTTAACCCTTTGCACCTGGCGATTTTTTACGGAAAAATAGTAATTCGAAGACTTTTTGACATAAAGTCAACGATATTTTTAAAACGGCACATAAGAAATCGTATGCAAATTAAGACGTAAAATTATTTTACTTTCACATTCCATGCATCGTTGGGCAATTTTAAATTTGATATATCAATTAACATCGATCTTTGGAATTTGATTAAATGGTGACTGAGAAGCGCCTCTCGAATGCAAAGGGTTAATACCGGATGGCCACTGAAAGACTGCACGATGTGAAAGAAAAATAATTTTCATAAACACGTGAGCATTTAATTTTTCCTTATTTTATTGGGAAATATAATTAATAAATGTTTTTTGGTATTATACATATTCAGTATTTTCCTGATTATAAATACTGGATCTTACCACAGCATTTTCAATTTTTAAGTGGCCACCCTCTTTTTTATATGTAGCTAATAAGAATGTTTCATGTATAGTTATTTAAATGGAGGTTTTTTATGGTGTATGAAAAATGCGATGCCATGTAGTATTATTATATACTGTAGTAAGTATAATATAATACTTCATTAATATCAAAATTTTTATATTAAGACACTTCATATTTTGTATGCATTATTTGAAATTTGTCTTATTATATTATTATTATATATTTTATGTATTGTTATTTAAATGTAGGTTTTGTATGGTATAAGAGAAAAGTGATATCATGTAGTATTACTTTGTAATGTAATAAGTATGAATCAAAATTTTTATATTAAGACACTTAATATTTTGTATGCATTATTTGAAATTTGTCTTATTACATTATTATTATATATTATATGTATAGTTATTTAAATGTAGGTTTTGTATGGTGTATAAGAAATGCAATGCCATGTATCGTTATTATATAGTGCAATAAGTATAATATAATATTTCCTTAATATCAATATTTTTATATAAAGACACTTAATATTTTGTATGCCTTATTTGAAATTTATCTTATTAAAATTCATGTATTATATAAATAGACAATAAATAACAGAAATCTCAAGTATAATTTTGGTAATGCAATTGTTAGTCTAATATCATATTATGTACCTTACGTTAGCAAGAAGTTAGTAAGAATATTCTGTACTTGGTTCTTTGAATATGGTTCTAGTTATAATGCAGACAAGTGCGACATCGTGAAACACAAATATAATTTTGGTAATGTAGTTGTCAGTCTAATATCACAAGCATTTTAATAAGAATATGCTACGCGACGTTATTTCAACGTGGTTTCTGTGATAATGTAGATAAGTGTTATCTCGTGTAGTATTTTCACATAGTGTAATAAATGCAATATTTCATTAATACCGATATTTTCACACTAAGACTGATATTTTATATTTATCCAAAATATTGACAAACATTGAAAATTTATCTTTTTACGCAAATAAACGATAAGTAATAAAAATTAGAGTATAATTGTGACAAAATAATTAGTAATCTAGCATCTAACAGATATTTTAACAGGAACATTCTATATACCATTTTTTGAAAACAACCTTTTGTATTATTAAAAATCTTTTTACGTAAATAAACGATAAGTAATAGAAATTAGAGCATAATTGTGACAAAATAATTAGTAATCTAGCATCCAACAGATATTTTAACAAGAACATTCTATACACTGTTATTTAAAAATAACCTTTTGTATTATTAAAAACACATTTTTGTGAATATATAACAAAGTAAATTTGAACATAAATTAATCTGAAGAAATTGTTTTATATATTTAAAAATTCGTTTAAAATTAATTTCCTTCTTTATCATAAATCACTGTGTTACTCGAAATATCAATCATTTACCTCACTTGCAACACTGCGGATAATATAAGGTAAATAAATTAATTATTGTAAAATAATTATGCACTTGTACTTAGATCAATATTTCTTTAATAATAGAGGACTATTTCTTGAATATTTCAATAATAATTAATAACACGTTATCTTACCTGGAAGCGTCTCATATCACGTGGATTGCCGGCATTCTTAAGGCAGTTCTGGTTGCACTTGAGGAAGAACTTGAGGAAGAATCTGAAAGCAGAGGGGACCGGAGTTAAACGGTTGACAAGGTGCTTAACGCTCTTCAACGCCGAGAACTTAATTAGAACGCGAACTTGGCTGGAAAGTAAGTCTGAATATTGCATAAGCCAATCGTAAGCCCTGTTCTACTCGCCTCTATTATTCAGCATTTCTCTAGATTAAACCCCCAACCACGTGTTCTTCGACCTTTAGGACCGTACGGCATTGTATACTATGCCAACGTACGTGGCTACTGCGGCAGTCTACCAAAATGTCAGAGGGTGCATTCTTCTAAAAATATATTTTATTGAGATAAATGAACGTCGAAGCTCTGATCTTCATCTGGTGTGCGTTTATTATACCTTACTTGCAATATACCTCTATATTGCGAAGTAATGAAATAATTCATAAATTTACAAATTTTAAAATTCAGACGTTTATTTAAATAAAATTTTCTTTTAATCTTCTTGCAAGTGAATAATTGACAATTAAGGCAAATTATGAAAACACGTGTTAACCTTCTAGACATGAAAATCTTTTTGCTGTAGAAAATTGGATATATAATTATTTTATTTCAATGTTTTATATATTCTTATATTATTTAAAATTTACAAATTGACTCAATCTTTTATGATTTTTCTAAATGGCGACTGACAATGAGTGGTGTACCCCGAATGCAAAGGGTTAATTTACTAACTGAATTCGAGAAATATGTATAAATAAATTAGAAAAGTGTTCAAAAATTGTGTAAGTGACACGAGGAATATTTGAAGAAAGTATTAATCGTTAATTGCTATCATTAAACGTTTTAAAACGTATTAATTTGAATGTAGCTCAATACGAAAATTTGTATCATAAATTTAATATCATATATTATATTATAAATTATAATATTATTTTAATATCTGAATATAGCAATTTACATATTTAAGAATATCATCGAACTTCAACGATAATTCCAAAAGTATATTTAAAACACTAAACATAACCAATATATAAATAAAAAGTATTTATATTATTCACGAGAAATAAAATTTACAAATGTTCCTAATAAATTTGATTTATTTGCTTGACTTATTGAACAATATTATAATAGCAATAAATATATAAAAACAAATTAAATACTTTCTTTACAATTACATGATAATGTATATAGAATAACGTTTAAATTTTATATAAAATACATACATATAAATATTCCAATATCAAATACAAATTGGTTAACTATTCCACCATGTTCTAAACATTCGTGCAATTATACTTTCAAAAATATTTTACTCGAAGCTTAATTTGCATAAAATTTCAGTGTATCACCACGAAATAATTTCAAGCAACATCAATTATTACCTTATTTATTCTCTTTATTTTGCTTTAATGAATATCCCATTAAGCCATAATTAATACCTTAATAATGTAATTAACCATTAAATATCGATGTTAAAAGAGAAACATACACCTACACGCAGCGCCAATGTAATTTAACAATCAGCATCGACAAATAAACGTGGAAAACGAGAAAAATATCGAAGCATACGTAAACACATTAATATACGCATACACGAGTAAGACAAGTGTATCACACGAGTTAAACCGCGAGTTGAAAATAAAGTAAGAAGAAAAGGGGTAGAATTCGAGCAGACAAGCCGGCGGCTGAACTTTCATGAATTATGTAGAATACAGAGGGACTATTGAATTTGAGAAAATTTTTGTAGACGCGGGATGTTCGCGTCCACATTCACGGGAGTGAAAGCCAAAAGAAGAATTCGTGGAGGAGACAGCGCGAGAAAGAGAGAGAAATACGGATATATCTGTGTCGATAGATCGAGACAGATCGAGAGAGTGGAGAAAACTCGTAGGAAACAATCAGAAGGACCGAGACGATGAAGAGTTCGACGGATGAAGGGATAGTTTTCTGGGTGGCTGGTAGGCCTGTCCTCCCGTGGGACACCATTGTTATCCCCCTACGGACTGCGTCTATACGATCCGGGACTCCATCGAAAAATCAAACGCATACCTCCTAGCAGCGACGCCCGCTTTTTTCTTTCTCGTTTGCGCGAATCGTCCAAGCGAAACCGTAGGAGAAACTCGTCTGATTTCACGTCGTCGCCCCCCACCAATCAATGGTCCGTTTCTTTCGCGTTCCTTTGTCTATGCTGTTCCGCCGTGTTCCGCGCGTCAAGGAGGTAAACACGGCCGAGAGCACGCGTAGCGCACGGTAAATGCCGGTTCGTTTAATTTTATGGACGCTTGAAGGAATAAAATCGTTTAGGTGCCGTGTTATACACGCGAGATCCGTCGTACTTATCGTTGCGTTGATTTATCTCGTGCCACGTTTCATCGCCTTTCGCCGTCCTTTTTATTCCCCATAAACTTCCGAGAAAATAGAGCAGCGGCAATAATGGTATAAATAATGCCCTGTACCGAAGTTAATGAAGTCATTAAACTGACTGGTGAAACACACGACGTTCACGTAAGTAATCATAACCGTGCGATTGTGTATATAACCTTTATTAAATCTTCGAGCGTGATTGTTGTTACGTTCGATTAGGTATTCTGTCAAATAATTTATACTCGTTTGACATTCGTTTGAAGCGAATTTATATACGTGTGATCGGATATACGCCTTATATTGGTAATTCTGTATCGTATTAAATATTGTTGTCCGTTCGCAGGCCGCGTGGCGACATAACCTCGTAACATAACCTGAAACTGCTTACGATTATTCGAGAGGTTACTACATAGGGAGATTAATCTAAATTGTCCATTGAAATTAGCAGTTGGTGCAGGAAGGTTATTTCGGTACGTATATCTTCAGAATATTGGATACAGAGCATGTCAATTCATTCCTCTTCGTGATATCACACGCACGCAGATAACGACAGCGAACGCGCGTATTATCGCGCATTACGCATGGCCGGATTATCTAAACGACACTTTTATCGTCGGTCGCATGATCCGGCGAATGTTGTCAACCGAGTGGAGCGTTTGGCACGAAATCCATATAGTGGGAAAAGTGAAAAGTAAAAATGAAAACCGATCGGGATGTCCCTTGTTCGCGTAGAGAGTACGGAAGGGAATGCTGGCTGGATGTAAAGAGAGAAGGCGGAGGAAGAAGGGAAGGGGAAGGATACACAGAAAGAGAAAGGGAAAGAAAGGTATCGATCTCCTGCTTCATGCTTTTCGTATCTATCCGTATTCATGTACTATATATACTTCTAGGTTCGTGTTAACGGCTACGTTCGGCCGCTCTTAGAATGCCGAGCGAATTTAATTTCGTTTACTCTTAGAGGACGTTAAGATCTTATCGAGATGCTGGATGGGTATTCAAAGCATTGTACCTTGGCTTATCGTGCTTGTGAATCTTGCTCTAAACACGATGTCTCTGTCGTGCCTGAGGCGTGGAGGACGACGATGGCTTCTAGTCTTTTGCAGATACGAATCCTATCGACCATGCCTGTGTACCTACGTCACTGTGAAAACGATGCGAAAACGTCTGGCGCGTTAACGTGGTTGACGCCAAACAGGACGACCAGGCAAGTCGTTCTAACCACGAGTGTTCCAGTTTACTGTAGTTCACAGTAATTGCTTGTTCATCGACTTTCTTTCCTCTCCTTAATCTGCCATAGCTTTATTTCGTATGTAATTTATCGAATTCGAACATTACTTTGTGCAATTGATTGCTGAAACAATTTTTCGCCTTAAATGGTATTTATGTAACTTTCTGTATAGTGATACTGTATGTTAAAATTACCTGAATTACCACGTTATTTATTTATTTGACGTGTATACTAGGGTAAATTTTTAGGGTAAAAAGAATTGTAAACATTTTATTAAAGTTAGCCTATTACAATACAAATAAATTTATTATATATTATATATGTATGTGATATTAACAAAAATATATTGCCTTTACTTAGACAGTATGAGTGTGCAATTAATCAAACTTTAAGCGTTATTAATAAATGTTAAGTCATATTAGTGTCAGTGGTGAAGATATGAAGACATTAATAACTCCTTAGAGAGATATAAACAGTAAAACCCGAACACAAAAAGTTAGATATTTTATAGTAAATTTTGTATAATATTTAAAATTTTAAATTTTGTATAATTTTTGATAAGCAAAGTGCCCTTTCTTATTATTTGATATTATATGATATAATGCAAATAATATTGAATATAATAAATTTTCTGTTCCTAGTATTTTCAAACTCCTATAATAATTTAAAAAAATATATTATCGTAAGTTCAATAATTAAATTTATCCAAGTGCTATTTTTTTAAATATGATATTTGCGATAAAACCAATAAAAAGAAATATTAAAAGAAATACTAAAAGAAATAACAATTTTTCTCTTCGAATATCGCATGTAAAGATCGTTCGTCTCAGAAGCTATTCATACGTAACACTAATCATTCGCGACACCCTATGGTTCGTATTGACGTCTATCCATCCCTCCATTCTTTTTCCTTTTTAGAGTCGTTTTCTTCCACGCTGTCCTCCGAGTATTGGCTGTTAGGAGCTAATGGATTGCGTTACCGACTGATTCAAATGCGAACTGGATTTCATTCTAAGCTCGATGGGGCGACAGTATCGACGATGTTGTAACGCGAACACGAGCAAGAAGGGTGGAAAGGCCAGTTTCTTACAGGGGCTCAAACTCGATTTCGATCATCTATTAGATTTTTCTCCTTCAGCGATGCTTTCCGCGAGCTTGCGCCAGTTTTCGCGATAAAATCTATTCTGGATCGTCGCTTAACACAGCCGGAAGGTGTATTTTACGACATTGAAACATTTGATCGAGTTAAAGATCGTTTGTTTCTACGGCGAAGATTGATACGTTTTGCAACAAATATTTATAGACATTTTTCCTGCGAATGTTTACAGAAATTTTTGTAAGAAATATATATATAGAAGTATTTGCAAGAAATTTGTATGAAAAATCCTCTTCTACAATACATTATTTAAAATATTAATACATTCAAGAGGTTGTAAGTTAGTA